TTCAAAAAGAGCTGCTTGTTTACGTTAATAGTCAAAGCTTATTCGTTTATTCTCCCTCCTTCCACCATCCTTATTCGCATTTTCTTTAGATTCTTAGCTAAAGTTGGCTCCTCTCCTTTTGGCCTGCATATTCGGGGCACGTAGACAGTGATAGCTAACGTTAGCGAGCAGCACAGATTCTGTTGTTGTCTGGGGTTCATGGCGGCTACGCCGCAAAAACAAAACAGGCCGTCTTGGCTCCCGTTAGCGCACTGAGTTAAAGGTAAAGCCAGTTAGCGCATGATAGCTATACAGGGGGTACACGGAAGAGGTAGGGGGGAAGATAGTGTGGAAATCTTTGTTAAAGAAGTAAAATAACCGCCAGTGAGAGCACCGGAGTATTTTTTACGCCAGCCGCGCGAGTTTGCAGCGGCGGCATCAGGAACAAAATAGGCCGCTTTAACTCTTTTTGGAATTAGTCCCTCGTTTTTTACCCCCTCTCCGGTTGGGTATGAGCGAGAAAAGCAGTAGGGGGTACAAATCGAAGTCCTTTTGTCGGCGTTCGAAGAACACTCCTGGGGTATTATTGGAGTAGCTAATATTGAATAGATTTGTGTTTGTGTAGCCTCTGCTTTTGCTAGCCGCGGAGGTTCTTCTCCCCTCCCTTTTCCTCCCTGGTCTGTAGGCAATCAAACAGGGGGCGCTATTTCTCACATCCGCGAGAATAGAATTCAAACTGGTTCCCTTGGTTACATAAGTGTTCTCTCCCCACTCTCTCAATTCAATACTATATTGACATGGAAAGTAAACACTTACATTGTCAAAGTAAACATATAACAAAAATGGCCAAAGAAAGGAATATACTAGACTGTTTGTTTTAAGAAATAATAATGGGGGTGATAAACATATTCAAATCAAAATCAAATTTATTTGTCCCTACCCCGTGTTTAGCAGATGTTATAGCGTGTGTAGCGAAATGCTTGTGCTTCTAGCTCCGACAGTGCAGTAATATCTAACAATTTCCCCACATATACCTAATACACAAATAGCAATTACAAAAAATAATTAAAGCTGCAAGCAGCAATGCCAGGGTTCAAGCTCTGGGCCCACTGTGCCACCATCAGGACAAATTGGACACATCGCCCTAGGATGAGCTACTTTTGTAATTTTTCCCCTGCTGCCAAATGTCAGAACTCAACATCAAACAGATCATGGGAATATGCCTTTTATGTATTTCGGACCATTTGTAAGATGTTTGACTACTTTAAAAAAAGTCTTCTCTCGAACCCCTGGACTGATTGGCACCAAATTTGGCACATAGCCTCTATATACCCATGTTTTTAAACGCAACATTTTCCAGACTAGCTCAACAATGTGGCTGCTATAAACCAATGACTTGCATTAATGTTTTTTTTCCCGTCCAAAAGCGCCGCCATGCGGCCAACTGAACTATACCTTACAGGTTAGCTAGACTCACATCCCTGAGCATGTGTGCCAATTTCCCTCAAATCTGAGTCCAAACAGATCAAAGAGATGTAAACATATGCCGGTTATACGCCACCGTATGGTCGATCTGAATGTGCTTGCAATGTTGAGTCTTTACAGTGTTTGGAACATGTGTACCAAGTTTGGGTTTCAATACGAATATCTGTGTCTGATTTATATGCGTTTATTTGCCAGGTCACGCCCATCTGAATGTTTATTGGTCAGTAGCGGCCATGTTGTTGGAGAGCTAGCCTGGAAAATTTGTGTTGTGAGAACTTGTCCATAGATGCTATGTATCAAGTTTCGTGCAGATCGGTCATTCGGTGCCTGAGGAGTCGCGTTTTAAGTAATTTTTAATCCAATTCAAAATCACGGAAAATCCATCATGGAGGACTTTATGGGTCCAAGGGGCAATTTTGTTCCATGTGAGGAGAGGCTCGTCACTAGTTACCAACAGCCACAAAGTCATAAAACCCCGCCTCTTTTCTACAATTTATCTTATTAAATCTGATTTTAAACCTAACCTTAACCACACTGCTAACCTTATGCCTAACCTTAAATGAAGACTATAAACATTATTTTTGTATTCATGAATTTTTAAAGATATAGCCAATTTTTGACTTTGTGGCTTTGTTAACTAGTGACAACTGAGGAGAGAGACCTGCAGTGCATTCGGAAAATATTCAGACCCCTTCACTTTTCCCCATTTTGTTATTTACGCCTTATTCTAAAATGGATTAAATCATGCTTTTCCTCATCAATATACACACAATACTCCATAATGACAAAGCGAAAACCGGTTTTTAGAAATGTTAGCAAATGTATAAAAAAAAAAACTGAATACCTATTTACATAAGTATTCAGACCCTTGCTATGACACTCGAAATTAAGATCAGGCATCCTTTCCATTGATCATCCTTGAGACTCAAACTGTAATCGCTGCCAAAGGTGCTTCAACAAAGTACTGAGTAAAGGGTCTGAATACTTATGTAAATGTCATATTTCATTTTTTTATAAATGTTCTCTGTCATTATGGGGTATTGTTGTGTAGATTGATGGGAAAAAAAAAAATGTATACTTTTTTAATAAGACTGTACGTAAAAAAAATATGGAAAAAATGAACGGGTCTGAATACTTTCAGAATGCACTGTATTACCAAATTCCATGACTCTAGGTCACACTGCTGCAGGGGATTTTCAGTTGTTTGTTATAGTGCCACCAAGTGGCCAATTGGCATTGCATGAGAGGGTGTGGCCCATGGACCTTTACCATCATGCAAATTTGCATCCTCCTAGGCCTTATTATCTCATGGGAATTAGCATTTTTTCACCAAATTGGGGGAATACGTATAATAACAATAATAATAATGAACCAGAAAAAAACAATAGGGTTTTCACCAGCTTTGCTTTTTGACCTCTAATACAGTTTTTTAAAAAATCACTTTGGCACTAAATTTTAAAACCCTTGACGTCATTTTTCAAAACTCTAGACACAAAACTCACAACCAATGATCAAAAAAGCACATTTTTCAAAACTCTAACACTTTTTTCAATTGCTTTGGATACATACACATAAAACTAAGATCATTTGTTCATTTAACAAAAATCACCTGTTCAATATGACACAGCTTAACATCAAAGAACTACTATTTCAAAAGGCAATTCACACATTACATTTCAGATGAGTGTCTATTCATTTCTTTAAAATGATCCAACTATCAATGATACAACTGCCAAAATGCTAAGTAACTGTTGCATTACTCTTTGCATAGTCGTATGGAAACAGACAAACAATATCCCATGTTTAGATCATGAAATTTTCAAGATAAGAGTTGATTGTCCCCAAATTAGCGTGGAGCATGAACCAATTAGACTACATTATCTATGGATGTAATATTTCATCATCATTCTTTATCAACAAAAACCGTTTTCTATGGTCCCATGTACACCTTTTCAGACTATTTAAGTATTGACAGTACGGGCACTGATGGATGCAGGCCCTTGTAATTGCTTCTCCAATTCTGCCAACTTGTTACTGATGATTGAGTTCACATTGTGGAACTGGATTGATTGGGATCCACTTGCAACACATAGCGTACGTACTGTAAAATGGCGCTGGCAGGTGATCCAGGTCACAATAGAGGTCAAACAGTGGTGGGAAGAAGATGAGGAAAACGTGTTGGTCAAAGGAATGGCAGGTGGACAAGCACCCCTTCTGAGAGGTGGTCGTGGCCTCGTTTTAGAGGTGTGGGGAACGGGTAGAGGACAAGGCCAACGGACCAAGACAACGGCAGCAACAGCAAAGAGTGTCCAATGAAATCCGACAATAGTTGTAGACCATGTCATAAATCATGGCATTACAATGACTGAGGCGGGTACAATGATACAACCAAACCTCAAAGGTCAACCGGGCCTCAATAATTAGAACTTTCCGCAATGAGAACCGTTTAAATAGTCAGCATGCACTAAACATTATGCTTCTCTCAATTGTCAAATGACTGCATACCAATGTGTATCACAGAGTAGGTGATGTGACCAAGTGTCTTCTTACTGTAATGTTTCCTGTAGAATTGAGACAGGCCAAATAGGGGAGGCAAGGCAAATTTTGACTGACCAACAAGAGCAGGCTGTGGTCAATTTGGTTCGGGCCAAATATGATATTCGCCTTACAGACATTCGCCAGCATATCTTGGGCCAAAGAAGACTGTTTAACAATGTGGAATCCATAATTTTGCCGACTATTGCACGCATGCTGAAAAGGCACCGGTGTCTTTAAAACAAACTATAAACCCTGTGCCTTTTGAAAGAAATGCAGACAGAGTGAAGCAAATGAGGGCTGAGTATGTTCAGGTAGTTCAGTTTCAAGATGGCTGTTGTAATAAAATTCCCTAATAATCTACATTGTACAGTAATCAGTAAATCTCTTCCAAAAAGTATTTTTAGAGGGTGATGGAGCTGGATGCTGATGAAACCATCACAAATTCCCTATATTTGGATGAGGGAGGCTTTAACCTGGCCAGACTAGGGGGAGAGGTCGGAATTTTATTGGCCAGCGGGCAAAACCCTCCAAGTACCCGGACAACGTGGGGCCAACCTTAACAATGTTGCGGCTATATGGT